TCTGAAGCCGGACAATCAGCAGCAGTTTTCTCATCTGACGGTCCAAGACCCTCTGTGGTTTCAGGGCTATGATCTAGAGAGATCACCGGTATCTTCCTAAAAACGTCAGGAATTTCAACAATAGAAGCCTTCTTTATGCCCCTGTTGAGCATTGTAGCTGGTGATGGTGAAAAAAGTGAAGGGGGATCGTCGTTCTCGGAAAATTCCGGCTCTGGAGGATCAATTCCAGTTACTGGAGAGAAATACGGAGCAGTCGGCGTATCTGTAGACAACGTGCCAAACGCCTGTTGAACGTCAGGCGGAAAGTATATTATCGTCGCCGGCGAATAGGACGGTGAAAATATATCATTGGTGTGATGCGGAATCGTGGATGAAATGGGGGCGGCGCTAGGGGGATCTATGTAATCGGAGAACTTAATCGACGGAGATGGCGCCACTTTGTAGTTTCCAATCGGAGAATGAACAAACGATGAATTATCATCAGAGAAATTTCTGGATTTCGGTAGCCTTTTGATGCGATTCGAATCAGTAGAGTTGGAATGATCGATGGTGAGGTTCGCTTCGAGGGAGGGAGCGCCGGTTCGAGCAACCACAGGCGGTGCACTCCTAGACGGAGACTCCGGCTGCCGCACCAGTACCTCGTGAGCAGAGCCACGAGATCTGCAGTTGAGAATGCCTCTCAGTCCATGAACTGCGATGTTACGAGCATAGAACATCCCCGGCATGACGACGTCAACGCCGTTGACGGATATGATATTGCCAGACGGCAAAGACTGACGGCTCTCTACGCGGAGATCGTGGTCGGCGGCGAGAGTACGGAGCGACGAGCCAGGGCGGAGCCTACTGAGGCCGAGGATGGAGAGGCGTTGTGGAACGACGTGGCAGCGGAGAGTGGCGGTGTAATCCGAGGCGGAATTCACCATGTCAAGCGCAAATAGAGATGAATCAGTCGGGGCAAAGACGGTGAAAGCAGCGTCTCCTCCGTCGACGAGATCGTATGAAAGGTCCGACGTGACAATTGCGTTACTGAAGAGGCCGTATCCGTTGCTTCTCAGAGCTGTCAACATGGAGTCCATCTCTCCCCTCTGGACGGCAGATATGGTGTTGAACTGACACATGATGACGGTGAGAATAACGGCAGCGAAACATCTGAAAGTAGTCGCCATTGGAGAGGAGATTGATCCTTGAGTTCGTTGAATTTTGGCGGGGTTTCAGTTGGGATTTCGGGTTGGTAGTGGATGTTTAATTTGAATCTTGAACCATCAATTACGAAGTATGGAGTATTTTTATACAACCCATTCACGATATAATCTGGAAATAATTCGACAAACGGAATAAATTGTTTACTGAATCAAACAATCATTTGAAGGCAGGTGGAGAAGTTATGAATGAGCAGTAGTGGACTCCAAGACATTCTTCAAAGGGGCACTCATGATTCATGAACGCGGTATGGGTCTGGTTTAAGTTGGATCTCATTGGTTCTTTTTAACTACAACCGGGTTCATAATAAAAATAGGGGGTTTTCCGGATATTACTAAGTTGTAGAAAATTTCTAAAAAAGCGACTAGTTTTAAATTTTGACAAAAATGTGATTAACAAGGTCACATATTAGGAAAAACTTACTAATTTTAACTGCTGCTACAGTGACCTGTCATAGTTACACACCACAGTGACATAACACATAGTGACTTCAACCACCACCACACACCGGTGACCACCGCTGGCCGAAGACTGTCGTCGGGACACCGACCCATAGTGACACGCAAAAGTGACACCGCCACAGTGATGCCGCCATAGTGACACCGCCACACGGATTTTCCAGTGACGCCGGTGCCACCCTCATCAATGTGTGACCGTCGGAAAGTTTCTTGGAGCCCCACCGCCGCCCCTGCCCATCCACCGCATCCCCTGTCCTGTCCACCACCGCCTCTGCCCAATCCACCGCCCTGTTCAACGCCGCCGCCCTTGACACGTATTCTGCCGCCACCTCTGCTTTGGCGATCGCCGCCGCCAACAACCTGTCACTGTTCAACAGCTCCCCAGCCCTCACCTTAACTCCCTTTCCCAACCCCTTTCCATCCCCCGACTCGGCCCACCATTTCCCTTTATCCAGCCCCAAACCCTAGCCTTTGTCCGACTGGAGGCGCGACAACCTACATGTGCGGCGACCTAGGATTGTAGCGACCTGTCGGAGAAGATGAACAAGAGGTTGTGCAGACGACGTGGAGGCGAAGGCGGCGATCTAGATGCTGAGACGACGACCTATAGATGGAGCGGCAATGTGGAATCGAAGGCGGAAATCAGAGGTGGAGATCGGAGGTGGAGCCCAACTGCCATCTTCGTCGATCGTGGGAGGTTTGGAACCCATCTGCGATTTTCGTAGGGGGCTTGGAGCTGGGGGAGAGCATCCTGCTCGGGAGAGAGATGACGTTTTGGGAATTAGGCATTTGTGGTAAAGGTCTCTTATTTGTCATAAACTATATTGGTCATATTTTTATCAATGGAAAGTGAGGGAGTAATATTTAGGCCCATCCCTGAGGGCCCCTCAACTCCGACCGGACGGAACGTTGGGAGGTGTAAATTGGACTATAATCCCAATCTGACAGATAGAGAGTGAGACTCTGTCCCCGGTACTTGCAGAGTTCCTATTTAGCATAGTCACCTCTCATCGCATTTGCTAGGATTTGATTCATTTGAACCTGGGACTTAACCCTTGTGACACTCCCTCACTACCAATTGGGCTACACCCACCGGTGCAATCAGGTTAATCATTTTCGACTTGGGGTAATGTACATCAAACAGAATTTTATGATTGTCCGAAAGAATTTAGGAGAGAATATTGTGTTTCATGACTTAATGACCCTTTCATATCGTAATGCTTAGTGGTGATAGGCGATTTCAATGACTTTCTTTACTCAAGAAAAAAGAATGGATGAGTGCCTCATCCTCTTTGGTTATTGAGGGGCTTTGAGGAGGTAGTATGGACTTGAGGGTTTATGAAATTTTCCTTTGGAAGATATCAATTCACATGGGAGAGGTGGAGAGGTTCACAGAGTTGGGTTGGAGAGAAGTTGGATCTTGTTCTTGTGTCAAAATCATGGATGAATAATGATAGCTTCCCGATAAACCGCTAGTGGTGTAACTTAGAGAGAAGGGAGAGATAATAATAGAGAGAGAAAGAACTTGCAATAAATGAGTTGTGAACCCCCTAACACTACTCCCCAAGGGGGATATTTATAAAGGGAATATAGGTTGGGCTCCCAGGTCTTGGGCCTGGGAGGCCCGATTACAAAAATGGGCCACTAATGGGTTGTTTACATGTGTTCCAATATGCTAAGGACATAATGGCGATCTATGCTGGTGATGAGGCTGAGGTGCATGTATGCACCTCGGTCGTGGTGATGGAAATCCCCGGGTGATGCTCCTGGCGGCCTGTGGCCGACGTGCCTTCCTCCGAGGTGTGGATGCTAAGGTGATGGTACAGACAGAAAGTTTGTTTCTTCATCCTCGGCTGGGCTCTCTAGCTGGGCCTTCTGATGCTGGTGTGGATTTGGACCGTTCGTATGTCCAAGAGTATGTGGAGACAACATACTCTTTGAATCCAGGTCCATAGTGAAAAATATAACGATCCCCTTTGAATCCCATATGAGGAGACAACAACGAATGAATGAATTTGCAATCCCTAAACTCGACATGAACAAGGCTTCCGATCGACTCGAGTGGAATTTCTTGGGAAGTATTACGGAGCGTATGAAATTCACACCTAGGTTACCTGCCACACCACGCCAGCATGTCACTCGCTGGCGTGGCACACATGTGGTTGTCCGTTTGTGCCACGCCATTGAAAAATGACTGACTAGGATTCCACGTATGCGCAACAGTTGACTTGCTGACGTGACATGTAACCTGCTTATTGACTCAACTGGACGTTTCTTTGAAGTTCGAGAATTGAACTGATTATTTTTTAAGTACAATGACTTAATTTACGTTTTCATGATAGTATAAGATGACCATCAATCGTTTTCCCAAATTTAAATATAATCCAATTAAAAATACATAGGGTCAACATGAGGGTCCCTCACATTCAAGTTTTTCAAAATTACACACATTAAAAGTTTCTGTGTCTTACTGCAAAAATGATGACATCCCATCCCTGAGGGGTCCCTGACGGGATGGTAAGTTGGGAAGATGTAAATTGGATTATACTCACAATATCAACCACTCTAGGGGTGAGCATTCGGTCGGTCGGTCAAATAACCGACCGATAACCGAATAACCGACCAATATTTGTTACTCAAATAACCGACCGAAAACTGACCGACAACATTACAAAAACCGACCGAAAAATGTCATTCGGTTTCGGTCGGTAACCGAATAACCGACCAAAACGACCATAATCGGCTGGTGGATTTTTTTGATGAACTTTTTATGTCATGTTCTTCATCAAGTCTAGTTCATCCATACCAAATTTGAGCAAACAATTCCATCGGGAAGCTCGTCAAATGATTTTTGGAAGTTAACTGCGTTTTATATGTATTTTTTAGCGCAGTTAAATTCCAAAAATCATTTGACGACCTTCCCGATGGAATATTTTGCTGAAATTTTTTGTGGATAAACTAGACTTAATGAAGAACATGCCATTAAAATTTCATCAAAAAAATCCACCGTGAAGAGCCCTAAAATCCGTCGGCCGGACAGTGGTTCCTGGCCGGAGTTCCGGACAGGAAGACTACTCTACTATGGAGTATATATACTTATATATTTTGGACGGTTATCGGTGACCGACCGATAAACGATAAATATAACCGAATAAAACCGAATAACCGAATAACCAATTCTTTTTATTTTATTATAACCGAAAACCGAGCGAAAACCGATTTTTTCGGTCAGTTCGGTCATCGGTTTTCGATCAAGTCGGTTAAATCGATTATTTGCTCACGCATAAACCACTCTATAACCCGTACTTGAAGAGATTGTGGGACCTAGGCACTCCGGTTGAGGTAAGCCCACCTTTTTCTTCCTACTGTGTGTATCTATCGATTCTTTGCTTCTGTGAAAAACAAAGATAACTCTGCGCAATTATCTTCGTGTCAAGCTGAAGACAGATGTAAGCTTGAAATTGGGTGTGTAGATTTGAAGGCAAATTCCGAAGTGTTCCGAAGAAACCGGCGGTTAAGGTGTCGTCGAGGGTGATGGCGTCCACGTCAGCAGCGCCGTCCAATCCGGATCGAACACACCCGTCTTCTTCTCCCACTCTACATTCATATGCTGATCAGCTTCACTCCGACCAAGGTCGCGGTTTGGGGTCAATGAACATGGATGAAATCATCAAGAGTATTTATGCAGACTCTAATACACTTGCTGACAGCTGCACCTCTTCCGGTGCTGCCAGTGGTAGCAAGACGGTGGATGAGGTTTGGAGGGAGATTGTGAGTGGAGGAGGAGGGAGTAGGGACCCGGAGATGACATTGGAGGATTTTTTAACAAAGGCAGGGGCTGTAAGGGAGGAAGATGTTAGGGTTCCGGCGATTCTTCCCTCCCCTCCCGCTTCTGCAGATGTTACGGGTGGGTTTACGGTGGACTCAATGGTGAATTCGTCGAATTGTCAGTTTCCTGTGGTCATGCAGAATGGGCCCTGTGGATTCGGTGTGGAGCCACCGCATTTGGGGTTTGGAAATGGCGTAATGGCTATGGGTGTCAACGGTGGCGCCAGAGGGAAGAGGAGGGCTACGGTGGAGGAGATTCCCCTCGATAAGGCTACTCAACAGAAGCAGAGGAGAATGATCAAGAATAGAGAGTCTGCCGCTAGGTCCAGAGAACGAAAACAGGTTCAAAAACAAATCTTTTCAGTTCCTATATGTCTTCAACCAATTCAAAAAGATTATGTCTCAAAATTCTCTAATTCTGAAAGGATTTCACAACAACATTTTTCTATTTCAATTAAAACTGCAGGCTTACACTGTGGAATTAGAGTCCCTGGTTGCACAATTGGAGGAGGACAATGCAAGGCTTTTGAAAGAAGAAGTATATTTCCTGTTTTTTTCATTACAAATTTTAGTCTTAGGACCCTTTCTATTAGCATTTGATATACAAGCGGAAAAGAGCAGATTCAGTGTGCATGTATATACTTATACTCTATAGTCTATACTCATCAATTTTATTTCAGTTAGGCAATTGATGAATTTGATAGTTTCCCATGTTTGCCTACATTACTTTAATTTTCATTCTCTAGTCCACAACTAGTTGCAATTTGCCTGGACTATCTGGCCAATTACTAAAAGGTTCAAGGAGTGCTACCTTTTATTTCCCATCTATAATATGGAAGGGCGATTCTGGCATTTCCTCCTGCCTATTTCCCTACAGATAAAATTATGTTCTCTCCATTCTTAAGGTGTTTTTAAGTGGCATTTCCTAGTCTGTTCCATTGATTTGCAGTGTTTTTTATGATTAATGTAACACTCCTGTTTTCCACAATCTCGATCTCGTACGTTCCTCCAGTCCTTGACTCCAATTGTTTCATCTTTATAGTCTTTCATAATATTTTAATGTGAAATATGTTCTTCATGACAGTAAGGATGTTTTTACTTGTCTGTTTTCAGTCCCAGACCAGACTTAAACATACCAGATCAGACCAAACTCAACCAGACCAGACTAGATCGGACTTCCATAGTTATAAAATACACAGAGACCAGACATTTACCAAACCAGACTTAAACAAACCATACTAAAGCAGCAAATTTCAGTCCAAGTAAAAACATCCTAAATCTTTGTGTCGTATCATATAGTAGTCCAATTTCTGTTCAATAGTCATGTTCAAACAGCTGCTAATGGATGACTTTTTTATTTCCAAATACAGGCAGAGCAGAAGAGTAAGAGACTTAAGCAGGTATTGTATCTGCTACAATGGTATCTACGTATTCCATGCCATATTGGATACTCGGGTTCTTTTAAATGGATGTATGGTTGGACTAAAATATTGCATCAACTTATTGGCATCTGCGTACTGAATCAGTGCAACATAGGTTCTATGAGCCCACACATTCCCTTTAATACTCTTATATTCTGAGCATTCCTATTTAAATCATTAATTCCTATGTCAAACTGCCATACTAACTTAGAGTTACTTTTTTGAATTAGTTATATTATGCAACTTGTATTCATGTTCTGCAGCCTGTTTTAGTCATTCACTTTTATAATAAACTAGTTGTTTTGTCCAACTTCTATTTTATTAATGTCAACATGGTCCATGGGGTGGTCTTTGTTATCTTTGACAATGCGGGTGTTTGGGACCTTGGCACGAATAATCCCGGGGGTGCTGAAGTTAGCGACCTGGCTAATCTTGGTAGCCTTCTTGGGGATTCAAACAAGTGACCTCAGAGATTTTTTTCCAGAGTTAAAACTAGTGAAATAAACCCGGAAGGTTGGGTGGTCATTGTGTTTATGTGGAAGAAATGCACACTCCGTTTATATTACAGGTGTCTTTAGCTGAGGCATGAGTTAGAGGGCATAAATTAGACTGATTAGTCTTTGTGTATCAGGTCAAGACTCTAGAGTTTTGTTTGATCGGAGGAAAATATAGAATATAGAAGTAGGGAAGCGAGAAAGATGTAGGAGTAAAGAAACTTTGATTGTTCGGATTGATGGATTCCAAAAAAAGGAAGATATTTTTTGGAATCCATGGTAATTAAAAAACTATTCCCGAAGTACTAGACATTTAAAAAAAACTCAATTTTCTTTTTATTTAAACAAATAACAAATACACTAATCCCTGCTTTTTTATTCTTATTTCTCAAATAAAGTAATTACACCTGATACAAACTTATTTTTCCTCTTTATGTCTTATCATATTCTTTCTTCTCTCTTTCCCTTTTTACTAGTTCTCTTCTTAATTATACAAAGTTTAGAACTTGGTTCGAACTTTGAAAATGAACAAGTCGTGTATTTATTATTAACATCTATATATTATCCATAGATTCCTTAAGGAAAAATTTAATGCCAGGTTAGGCTCATATATTAACCTTTTGAAATACAAATTGTATAACAATTAACAAACACGGGCAATAAAATATGATGTTTTAAATAAAAGAAAATCTTGAGTATTATTTGTTTGAGGAATTCATTTCCATCTGACATGGACATGAGTTTATAAACAACACATCATAACAACACATCATAACTTTTAAAACCACACCAGAGCTAAAGCTTGTAATACCATAGTTTAACATCACTCTGCGGACTCAAGATCCAGTGAGCATATTGTCAAGTTACAAATGGAGGGCATGAGATTTGAACTAAGGCTAGTTGTTGTGGAGAAGAATTTATGTATCACTAAGCCAAAACCACGAACCAAATTGCTGTTTTCAATTTTCATGTTCCTCTTTAAGCTATTACCCTTTTGAGTTACCTTTAAATAAATGGTTCCTACTTTCAAAGATTGACTACCACTGATTTTTTAAACAAAGGCTGTCAAATCCTACCAGTGTTGTGAGTGGAAAGTTTTGATTAAATATTAGATATGTGAATCAATGTTTTCTATGTTGGCATTCTATGTTATCATGGATTGGCGATTATCACCATTTCATTAATCAAAACTTTCCATCCGGTAAATTGAAGTGTTCTTTTTATTACCTTTTGGAACTACTTCATCAAATGCTCCAGCGATTTCGTACCTGATGTGGTGGATGAGCCTCGATGGATGGTTTACACAGGTGTTACAAGGAATCTCTCTTGCATGTAGTAAAAGACATCATTAGAGCCCCAGAACTCTCTGCTTTGTTCGGATAAAAAGAGATATAAGACAAAATGAAGTAAGAAAGAAGAATTTAGAAGTATCTGGGGAGCAAAAATGAGTAGTTTAGTATGCTGGGACCAGTGGAGGAGCTGGGGGGGGGGGGGGGGGCATGGAGGGGCAAGTGCCCCCGCTTCAGTCAATTTTTTTTACTAGTACTGTACTACTTATAATATATTTCATGCCCCCGCTTCTTTTTTAATAACTATAAGTACTACTTAAGATTAATTTTAGATCAAGTGTTAAAAATTGACCAAATGAAAAATGTAATGTTTAGTTATGAAAAAGAGGCACATAGGCAGCCTCTAGGACTACGATGATTTGTTTTTGCGGATTGCTTAGTATGCTACATCGAAAGAGACATTTTTCAAGCAATTGATAATGAAGCTATTATGCAGCATTTTCTAAATATGAAAACTCGTAGGATTGATTTGCCCAGATTGCAGAAATGAATCAAGTAGTATACTTCGTATAATGAACTACGTAGTATAATTTTGTGCTAATTTGTTACACTATTGTTGTTCTTATTATATTTTGAACACGCACTTTAAAATTTTTAGTCTCTAGTACGCCCCCCCTTGGACATCTCTGGCTCCGCCACTAGCTGGAACTGAAACAATTAGGAAACAAATAAAACAAACAAACAACCACAACATCCTAAGCCTTATTTCTAAAAGATCTTAGGGTCGACTAACATGAATCGATCCATGATATCAGAGCCAAAAAGAGAAGATAACAATAATATAAAAACATAAGAAAGATAAAAGATAAAAGAGCATAAGAAAGATAAAAGATAAAAATAACATAAGAACATAGATACATAAAAAAGATAAACGATAAAAGAAAAAGAGAGAGAAAAGAGATTAAACGCCCACACGAATAACCAAACATTCTTGCCCAACTGGTTGTGAAGTTACTGTGCCTAGTGGGAGGTCTCGAGTTCGAAACCCGCTACACACATAAGGGTTTGAAACTCAATGGAGTGAATTTTAGCTCTGATTACTCCAGACCCTCTAGCCCCCCTCCCCCAGACCCCCTGGAGTAAAAAAAAAACGGCCACAAGAATGTGCAGCCTCCACTTTGCTCTCTAAAACCATACTCTCCTCAACCCAAGTAGACGCATATCAGTCTTGATTCCTCTAATACAAGTCTGTTTGGGTTTTCCTCTCCCTCTCCTCCCCGCCTCTTCTCCCCGCCTTTCAAGTTGTCTAACAGGTGCATCACTCGTTCTTCTGCGCACATTATCAAACCACCACAACCAAAACTCCTCCATGTTATCTTCCGTAGATGTTACTCCCATATTTTGTCTAAGGAAACAAATAAAAGAGAGATTTTTTTTTCATTTGTAAGAATAAATGTGTTGTATTTGTAAAGACATTTATTCTTACTATATGTAGACATTGTACCGTATCAGAAAAATAGTAAGGTTAAAATGGTAATTTTTTTTTTGAAAACGTCAAAATGGTAATTGTTCAAAATATTTTCCCTTCATATTTTCGCCCCATCCAAACAACACAGTTTAACTTTCTTCTCCACTTGCTTATTTTCTTATTTCTTCCCTCTCAAAACCGTGCTTAAACTAACAGAAGGCTGGTTTGGGAAAACATACTTGTTGGAATCTTTTCAAAAGTGGCATATATCAGACTTGTGTGTGTGTATGAGGCATTGTCTTCCAATTTTGTATAGCTAAGAACATGAAAATAATATTAAAAGTGAACATATCCTCTTTTACTGGAGTGGGAAAGTTATTGTCCAAAGCATATGTTAATGTGTGTTAGGTTCTGTGATATAGCCCATGAGGTATATAACCTGTTGGATAGAAAGATCATATAGTTTGATGTTACCATCCAACAACTAACTCAATCAAGAAGCATGTGTTAATGGGTAGTTAGATTCTGTGATAGAGCCCATGTGCTATATAGCCTGTTAGATTGAAAGATAATTTAGTTGGATTACTTGGATATCTCCATCCAACTCTAATTCAAAATTACTTGGATTGCTATGATAAAGCCTTATGGATGAGTACAAAACGCAAAATTATTTGTTTGAGGCCTGGGCCTCCTCTGGGCTATTGTGCTTATCAACAGAATAAGTAGAATAAGTAAGTTTTGACTTCACTTATTTGATTGGAAGGGATGTTACTTAACAGTTATGCTTTAGAAAAACCCCAGCAAACTCAACCATTTAGCTGCTTCGAAGCAGGCCCCTACATGCTCAGCTCAGTCTTCTTGAATGTGATCCAATTATCTGTTTTCTATCGACTACCACATGTTTGGTTTTGTTTGCCAGCTTTTTTTCTAACGATATTGTTTAAACACAGCTGATGGAGAACCTAATTCCAGTTGTGGAGAAGCGGAGACCACCCAAAGTTCTTCGGAGAGTCCGTTCCATGAGCTGGTAATGAGCTGGTACTGCGGGCTTATGCCAAATTTGCAATTCAAACCGAAAACCAGTAACAAACACGCAGCCTAAACAGACGGTTAGATCTCTCAAACGGAATGTTTACGAACTCTCTATCCGGAGGATATATGAAGATAACATAAGTAATGTAATTAACAGCTTGCTGCATATTTTAGTAGTGTAATTATTGGTTATCTGCAGAATAGCTTCCGCACCATTGGGGTGGCAGGGAAGAATGGTTAGTGGTGGGTGATCTTGCTTGTCTAGCTACATGATAATTTCATTTTTTAATGTGTTGTGAAGGTGACTTGAAATTATTTAATTGTCTTATTTTGGGGTTTCATCATCCAAATCAATAAAAAATTACAAGTACACACGCGCAGCTGTATCTTCTGAATCAGTATGAAAGGTACATATATACATATGTATACATAAAAAAGGAATTATTGGTCGAAAGTTATGAGATTTTGGCATGATGGAGACAGGTGTATGGTGGATTGATGAGGCTGCATATATGCCAAACGCATTCATGCAGGTGAGCCCTCCCTCCCTCTTCTATACGACATGACTGTTTAACCAACTTCTAAACCTACCTTTTATTATGTCATTATTGACCACACATAAAAGATGGATATGAGAGTTTATCACTGCCAAATTTGCTGGCTAACTTATTCATCAGCTCATAAATATGATCTGCTTGATTTTATTTATTTACTTTCTTTTTAAATCTCGTACTACTGACTGAATGTCTTTGTGTTCTGACAAAAACAAAGATGAAAATCAGAATCAGAAGTTATGTTGCGGCATGGAGAATTGGTTCATTAATTGGTATTTGACCGTTTGACATTGATTTTAGTGTATGCAAGAGAGCATAGACTAAACATGTTTTAAAGAGTTGCTTATATGATGTGGCTTGCCGTGAATAAAAAATTCATTATTTCCGAGCTATTATATGATGTGATTCTGAAATTTGTAAAGTAATTAAAGAAATTGCTTTAAGCAAGAACTAGAACTTAGAGTCCTGGTGCCCGTTTGGATAATAGCGGGTAGCACCAAACCGCTGAAAAATTGAACGCTACAAAATGCAGCGGGAAGCACCAAATTGCTGAAAAAACAAACGGGGCCTTAGACTCCTGTGGGTTTCCTAAGCACTACTTCCGTTAACACAATTAAATATCTAGTTTGATTTTTCGAGGTTTTAAATTTTAAGCAAAATATTTTTCCTTATTGACTTTCCAAGTATGACATTGCTCAAAAGTATAACATAAAAATCTAATAATTAATAATGTACTTTATATATTGATAAAAGCTTATTTTACCACTCAATGACTCAAATATTATGAAAAAGAGAAAGGAATTTGATTTTAGATCATCTCAAGAAGTATAGCGAGAACTTAATTACGATACGAGGTAGGGATGGACCGGTTCCGGTTCGGGCCTGGACCCGGCCGGGCCTCGGTTCAAGAAGGGGAGGTATGGTAATCATAATAAGAAAAAACATAGTAATCATATTTCTATGTTGATTTTACTCTTCTTTTTGTCTCCAAATAATAGGTGCTTAAAGTTCGGGGCTAGGTATGGTCGTATGGGGTCTTGATGGGTCTCGAGTCTCGACTCATCCTAAATTTGAAAAATACCTCTAAGTTATACTTCCTCTGTCCCATAAAATAGTTCCCACTAGGATTTGGATTGAAGTTTAAAAAAGTGAGAATAAAGTGAAAATGTATGATTGTAGTTGAGTAAGAAAAAGGTAAATGAATGGTAGCCACACAAAATTTTCCAAAAGGGAAATGAAAATTATTTTTGTGGGACGGAGAGGATATAAAAGTATGTGTAGTTTGGTTTGTACCGACTCAATCCAATGTGTGCTTTTGCTTACCTCCTAGACTCCTAGTTAACATGGATAACAAAAAACCATGACTGCTGTGGTTATAAATTAACCATTGCCTTTGGGATAAAAAAATCAGTTGTGAAAAGAAGCTATGGGCATTGCCAATGGCATTGAAAATTTTTTGGAATTTTTTCTCGAAAATATTTTGTGAAAATCGATTGCTGAACTGTCTCGATACAAAAAATATTTTCGGAAAATATTTTATATGAAAAATTATACATGAAAATTAAGACGTTTTTTTAAATTTGTAATGTGTCCGGCCCTAGATTGGCCTAGGGGTGGACTCGGGTCGGGCCAACCGGCCCGAAACCGGACCGGCCCGCTACTGTGCGAGCCCGGCCCGGACCGGTGAACCAGTTCCGGGCCCGGTTTAGGCCAATCGGCCCGGTGGGATGGCGGTTCGGGCTTGGGCCCTTCAAAAGGTGAACCGGCCCGGCCGGTTCGGGCCCGGGCCGGGCCATTTTTTTTTTGAATTTTTTTTAAGTTTTTGGATTGGGCTGAGTTTTTTGGGCCATTTGAGGTGGTTAGGGTTGGTTTGGGGGTGAGGGGGAGGGTTGGGGGTTAACTAGGAAAAGCCAAAAAAAAAAAAAATAGAACCGAGGCCCGGCCTGGCCCGGACCCGGGGGTTATCCGGGCCGGTTCCGGGCCTCCCCTTCTTGAACCGAGGCCCGGCCAGGCCCAGGCCCGAACCAGACCCGAACCGGAACCGGAACCGAACCAATCATTGGCCCCCATATCTGAAATAAGCAATTGAAGGCTTGTGGCGGTCTAGTTAGAAAAATAATGTCATGGAATTTCTTACATTTAATTTATAATGATCCATGTGTTTTTTTGGAGGGCAAACTGTCAAATAATTCATGACACTATCATGTATTACCTCAGTCCCACTAACATTTTGGACAAGAAGATGTGATAATAACACAATTATTAAGAAAAATAATGTGATAATAAAAATAGGAGTACTATATCATTTTTGTTATACTCCCTCCGTCCCGAAATAATCGTCCTATTTTGACCTTCACACAGATTAAGAAAACAAAGTTGACTTCACACTGTAGCGACACTGTTTGGCACTGTAGCGACACAGTCTGACACTGTTTTGCACTGTCTGACACTGTTTTGTATAGATTTATTTACCAAATAAGGAAAGGAGACAATTATTTTGGGACGGACTGAAAAGGAAAGCAGGACAATTATTTTGGGACGAAGAGAGTATATGAGTATATTGCTGTAATATTGAACGGCACAATTTGAGATATTTAAACATTAATACACTACAAATGTTATAGTTAATGTATTTTTGAAGCGTGCCATTAATTATTCTTATTTAGGAAAAATATAAATTTTTTATTTTGAAATGTTACATTTTTATTTACGTATGGAGAAATTTATATTAAATATTATCTCCGTCTTATTTTAGTTAGTTATCTTTGACTAATAGTCAAAGATGATAAACTTTGACCAATTATTTTAATTAATATATTTATGCAAAATTTAATAAAATTATATTTTTATGATATTATTTTTTATTAAGAATATTTTCATATTATCAATACTTCTGTATATAAATACGGAGTATATAACCAGTCAAAATTAGACATCAATGACTTGAAAAATCAAATTTTACTAACTAAAATGAGGCTTGACAATTAAATTATTGCAAATAAAATTAGAATGGTGATTGACAAGAAAACTGATCAAGTTTGTTTAGTCAATTCTCGAGGGGGTCGGATAAAAACCAACCCAACTGGACCCCACTCTTCTTCGGTAAGAATATTCTAAAAAATATAGTGAAGTCCGAATTAAATCACCATAAAATCCAAAATTGACAAGCTCTGAGTTATACTCTCTCCGTCCTTAAAAAGATTGCCAAGTTTGACCGGCACGTAAAATAATAAAGTAAAAACTGTGTGGTAGAGATTTGTGCAAAGGAGAGAGAAAGAACAGAAAGCCACAAATTAATTGATTAAAATGGAAAGCGGTAAAGTTTTTGGGATAACAAAAAACGTAAAGTTAACAAAGTTATAAGGAACGGATGGAGTATTACCAATAATATATTTAATATATATTCAAGGTAGATTCTAGTTCTGATGTGTGATGAGTGACATCGATGATCTTAGAATCAAACTTGGGGTACACACTTTGTGTACACACCCTTACACACTCATGTCTGTGAGGAGTTTTTTTATATCTGTCCCAGACAAAACGTATTTGTCAAATACGCTTTGTCTGGGACAGACCTACAAAAAGCCTTCACAGACATGAGTGTGTAAGAGTGTGTACCAATAGTGTGTACCAATAGTTTTTTTCACGATCTTAAGTATCTTAGAGGCACTTTTAGAAATTCAGAAAACTCGTTTGAATTCTGCTGCTCAGAATAGCTGTTCATCCTATTATTTGTTTTTCTTTGTTTTACTCGAGTATGATGATAAATAATAAAAAAAATGTCACATCTTATACAAATGGATTATATTAGTAATTTCGAATCACTATTATTGCGGTAACTTTAGTCACATTTTCTCATAAAGTCATAAGTTATATTTCCTCAGCTTTTTGATTTGAAAATGAAAGAAAGAGGCATTGAATGCAATTCAACCCAGGTTACCGAGAGAGTCACATTCTTATCGATTGTTAAAGTATTTGTCCCACATCGGAAAGCTATAAAACAATATACGATAGTATAAGATTTTGAGCTACTCCTCCTATCAAGTTGACCTTTTAGAATGGAACCCACAATCTTAATAGAAATCAAGTTTTGGCTCCCCAAAAATATCATACCCCACTACAATTATATATACAAGTGGAAAAACCAGAGAAAGGATAATGTCATATTAGCATTTATGAGTAGGATGAGTTAAGGTCATACAGCAGCCAGCCAGGCCCCTCTTCTCTTAATTCAAACAATTCACAGCAAATAATCATTGATCTAAATTAAGTCCTACAAGTAAGGAAGTGTTTGTGATGGGCAACTTTCCATCTTGGATAATCAAGGATGTGTTTATAAACTTCACATGAATCTAGTCTCTCCAGCCTGTTCTCACATGGCCTTTTCCAGAGCACATACACAACAAGAAAACAACACAGGGCCAACCATATCAGATAAACCATCACATTCATGCACATCACATTTATGCATGCATCTTTCTTGTGCCTCATAAATGCAGTGAGGAGTCACATGAAGCTTCCACATGCATAATATCTAACAGTGAAATTCTAATGTAAAATAATGAATGCATGCATGCATGTTCTTAGTGCTGTTGAAGTAAAAAAGGGAAAAAAATCTCTTGCATTATTGTAAAGATTTCATTTTAATATTCTTGAGTATCTCCTCTTCATGAAAAATGATTGGAGCAATAACTACACCAAGTTATTCTGTCATTGATCATTCATTCATTCCTGTATTTCAGAATGTATATCCTTTCATCTTAAATGTACTATAATGCAGAATGTCCAGATAAGAACAATTTATTCTGTTCACTGAAACTGCAGGACCAGGCTAAGATATGATGCAACTAAGCTCTATTAACTACTCCGTATTAACTACTACACTGAAATAGCTAGCTTCATGATAAATGGTCAAATAAAGGGAATAAACAGATTCTATATAACCGCCATAACATCATAAACAAACATACTATTGCGAGCTTTTTGCATTATCAAATTACTTTAATTTGATCATAAAAAAATAATAATACTGCCAACACATTCATGCTACAGAGAAAGTGAAAGATAACCACTCTTTTTTGTTTGCTTTTTCTTGAAATGTTGCATGCATGTGACATTATGCATATTTTTATAAAATCATACAAGTAGAAATTAAATAGTTACCCCCCCCCCCCCCCCCCCCAAATGATATGGAATAGAATTCTGTGAAAACATTCACTTCCTGTTAAGTGATTCGTCCATTCACCGAATCAAATATAAAAGTACAAACCAACATATAAGGTTTTGCGTTACGTTCGTGTAAATACGAATCATATGTTTAGTTTGCATTTTTATATACGTGTTTGAAGTGGGACCGATTCTCGAGAATGCATGCAGCTACGTATGTTCGTTGCAACGTCTGATGGTCTCATCTAACTCCCCTTATTTCCAAGGAACTCAAGACCGTCAACGCGACAACTGACGATTTTCCTGAATACTTCCCGCAAATTGCGCTCGAGAGGGTCAAGCTCAGCTTTGAAGACTTCACAGACAGACATGAGCTCTTGAACTCTCCCCATGAGCTCTTCCATTTGCTGCTCAGAGAGCTGAGAAGAGGAGTCAACCAGCTCAGTCAAGTGACTCACACCTTCTTCCATGACACAAATCTCCTTCACCAGCCCATTGGAGTTTCTCCTCTCCCTCTTTTTAGACTCCTCCATTATCCTGGCTTGGAGAATATGGAAAGGTCGGCCCCAGCATTGCCGGGGGATGACGATGTTCGTGTGGACCCCGCGGTCCTGACAAGGGATCCCGGCCACCAGAACCCACAAAACAAACACCAGAACAAAGCTCATCGTGTGGACCAGAGAGGCCAAGCCGTTTGACGCTAGAACGTCGGTCGGCTTGGGCGGGCCCACGCTATTCGCGAGAAGCTGGAGCTGTTTTGACGCCGACCACGAAGTCGAAACACTCCATGACAGTGACCTCGCGTGGCGGCTCCGAGCGGGCCGAGTGTGGTCTTTCGGGCGTCGTATAAAAGACCTGCTCCGGGTGCTCGAAAACACCCCCCCTCCCCCTCCGCCAGCGGCACCGCCAGCGGCACCGCCAGCGGCGCAGCTGTCTTTGTTACTGTTATTATCTTCCAGCATGCAGAGTGCGAGATCTATCAGAGCCTTTCTTGCACGGCGGAGGTTCCCTCCCCCGACCGTCGTTTTACCACCAGTCTGTGGGGCCCCCAATGCACAAACCACAATCTCCAAATGCCTCTGCCACCTCTTGATCTTCTCGATCCCGTCTCGGGCGGCGTTGCAGATGTCGAGGGCCTTGATCGTCCGGTCAAAGTACTCGGTCAAGATCCTCTCTGTGGGCGGTTTGGAACCACCGAATGCGGCGGCGGTGGCGTCTTTTTTGGACATGATGATGAGCCTGAAGTCATCTTGGCATTTGGAGAAGGCATCGAGAAGCTTTCGGATCCAAGAAACAGAGAGAAACTGATCTTTGCCGTTGCCGACGGAGAGGTCGTGGAAGCGGGCGGCGACTTTGGATTGGAAGGCTTCGAGCTGGGAGTCAACTTGGCCGGTTGACTTGTTGTGGTCCAATAGCAAGGCGTGGACTTGGTCACCGCCTCTGAGCGTCAGGATTGGCCGCCGGAATGACACGAAACGCATCGGAGAGCCGTGGTTTTCCGATGAAGGCCGCATTTCCACACTCAATATTAAATAATAATCCCTCTTCACTTTTTGTTTTATTATAGCTTACTCTTTCTTCATCATCTAATAACAAGAAAAAAGGGGAAGCATCTGTTAGTCCCAGTGATTATAAGTAGTTTCAATTCATAATATAATCACAATATAATTCTTTCCAACAAATAACAATAATCATAATTAAGTATCAACTACTCAATTGCCATACCAACTATTCTAAATGGTTACCTTGACATTGACCAAATTGACTAAACTTCTTTGGAGACAAAATTGCCAATAATTAATGAAGTACTTAGCTTGTTGATTGTTACTCCGTATGTTTTATTTATAAAATATGAATAGTTTGATTTTATTTCAATACTATAATTAATTTATATATAACCCATTAAAAGGATTAATTATTAAATTAGAATATAAGAATAAAAACAATAAAGTTTTTTTCTAGGAGTGAATGAATCTGAGTTTGGAAGAAAATGAAGATTCTAGCTATTTCGTGAGGCAAGTGCATGTCTTATGCTTTAAGACTATTTAGAAAGTTTCATGAGAAAATTCACTAAATATGGTGAAAACATAATACATTTCCTCATATATGAGTATACCATAATTTTCATCCCACAATAGGATTGGTACACTTATATTTTGACAAGTTTTTGTTATTTTATTCATCTAAGTGAGTTCTGTTTTCAGAATAAACATATTTAGTCGTGTATTTGAACTTTGTGTATGTTTGATCTGACTTATGAGTACCATAAGTATAGTGTTAGGGCATTTTTTGAGTTTTTTTTTAAATGTTAGGGAATGAGTATAACTTATGATGATTACGTTGAATCGTTGAAGTGAAACATAAGATACCTTAGAGTCACAAATTAAAGTCATATACTGAAAGAACACAAAAGCTAATTAAATGAGAGATAGCACTGAACATACCTTAGCTTAGCTTGAAAATCTCATGGATGCAAGAAGCTCCCATGCACACGGCTTAGGTTTTGGACCGGCCGGGAAATAAATAAATAGGGCGGGGATAGTATATTGTGGGCTAGCTAATGGATGGGTATCTGTATATTTATATACATGATCAGGCAGCTGGATGGATGCATGCCTGAGTGGGAGTTGGTACTTGGTAGCCTTTTTGTTTTATTTTAAAATAATAAATCATATATACTCCACTCCGTATACGGCAATTTTTTTTTTTGTATTATTAAATGATGAATGATGCCTATTTATAATTGTACCACCGAGCATACGGTGGAAAACTACCGGAACAATTTTGTAATTTAAGTGAAAAATTTGGCTACAGCTAACCGTGCATTAATGTATATTTACTGAGCATCACATCTCTATCCTATTGAGGATTAGAAGTCAAACGATCTCTGGTTCATATTTTCTAGTTTAATTTTTATTTTTTTTATTTTTATTTCTTTATTTTATGAAAACTTATTAAATTATATTTATAGAAATTGTTCTAAATAGGAGCAAAAATATTTTGAAATTCCAAAATGGGAGTATCATGTTTTTTATTCCTTGAATGAGAGTAATCTGCCAAGTTTGGAATAAAATGCCATGTTTTAAAAGCCTAGTAATGACAAACTTGGCAGAAATTTACTCCTATTCAAGGAATAAAAAACATGATACTCCTATTTTGGAATTTCAAAACTTTTTTACTCCTATTTAGGGAATTCTCCCTTATATTTATAACCAATTCCTATGAATTTACACATGCGAATCTAATGTAATATGATACTTTAAAAATATGCATTGATATGACATTTTAAAAATGTGAATAACATCACTACCAAATGGGCATACATACTGTCGGTAGAAAATATCCCGGGTAGAGAAACTAGCATCATTTTAGTATAGTAAAATAGCGTTCCGAATACATGGGGGGTTGATGGCCTATTTATAGGCATCCATCATAAGTCCAAAGTCTAATCTACGTGGGCTTGGCCCATATTAATAATACATCTCCAAGCTAATGGGCGAACCGGCCCGATAAATAAGTAAATGAGCAAGGGGCGACTCCCGCTCGTGAGACTGCGTCCTGGGCCTAGTTGGGCCTAAGCTCGGAGATAACGGGCCGATGGCACTGGGCCTGGCCCATTATCCCAACATGAGTCCCCCACTCCCTTAGTCGAGTAGTAGACTCGGCTAAAAGGGAGTAGTTGAGCTGCTTTGAAATCGGCCCGGTTGCCAGGCTAGCTAGCTAGTTATATAGATGTTCGTTGATAATGACGATTTGTGGTGTGCCCCGAAAGGTCAGTCATGTAACACTATGGTCCTGTTATCTGATCAGCAGCCCAGGATCTTCTTTGTTCCTTTCGGAAAGACTTCTTCCTTTGTTTATGATGAGGGGATGCCTCGTTAAAACCTTACTAGGAAAAAACCCAGTGGGAAAAAATCCTAGTGAAGGAAAAAGAGTACACCGGAACCTTAAAATAAAGCAAATGAAGGTTAGTCCCCTCGGTTCTTGATTGAGTGTCTGCTTTATTGGTAAGCCGATATATGTTCGGGAAAGGCCAGTCACACGGTTTTTTGATAGTGGTGCATGGCGGTCGAGCCAAGGTGTGCTCGGGAGAGACCAGTAGACCACCCGCATAACTATTTGCTGATGATGCCGAGCCAAGGCATTCCCATGAGAGGCCGGTCGCAAAGGTGTCTGTTGATGATGCCGAGCCGAGGTATGCTCGGGAGAGGGTGGCTGCACAGCTGTGCACATTGATCCCCACTGCCTACGAGAGGATAGGGTTTCCTTCATCTAGGTCATGTTTGTCTGATTAGCCACCCGAGGTCTTGTTCTTCCGATTAGCATCCTGGGGTCTTGTTTGTCCGATTAGCAGCTCAAGGTCTTGTTTCTCCGACTAGCAGCCCGAGGTCTTGTTTGTTTGATTAGCAGTCCAGGGTCTTCTTCCAATTTCAACAAAAGGGTGAGCCCTCTGGCCACTGCGCGCAGCTGCAACGGTCGTCATCTGCTAAGGGAATGGCAAAGACGGTCTTCACTTGTGAACAATGCTTGCTTGACGTTCTCGGGAGGATGCAGTGAGTAGTTCACCATGATAAGTAGTCCCTGTTGATTGCTATTATTACTTGTTACAAATATGGCAGGTAGGAGAGGTGCTCTCGCTGCTTTAGATGCGACGAAGGATGCTAAGTCTCGGCCTTCGACGTCTGATGAGGGTCTACCTCATGCAGGGGAGAAGCCCGGAGCTTCTCCGTCTGACGCTGGGGAAAAGCGAGAAGCTTCCCTGCTTTGTGAAGAACGACTTTCCAAGAAAAACAAAGGTATAAACTGCTCCTTAGGCCGGGTAAGGGGAGATAACCCAACTGGAAGAATCCTCGCTTACTCTGTTCGTTTCCTCGTAGGTATGGCACGTCAGAGAGGCGCACCTGCTTCCCTGCCCTAACCTTCGTTTCCTCGCAGGTATGGCTGGTTGGAGAAGCGCACTTGCTACCCTGCCCTGACCTTCGTTTCCTCATAAGTATGGTAGGTTGGAGAAGTGCACTTGCTGCCCTGCCCCGACCTTCGTTTCTTTTTAGGTATGGATGGTCGGAGAAGCGCAATTGTTACATTGGATGCGACGAAGGATGCTAAGTCTCGACCTTTGTCATCCGATGCAAGTCCATCTAATGTCGGGGAGAAGCACGCAACTTCCCTGCATAATGTCAGGGAGATGCTTAGATCTTCTCTACCTGATGCTGGGGAGAGGCACGCACCTTCCCTGCCTGAATACTGGGGAGAGGCACGCACCTCTACCTGATGCTGGGGAGAGACACACACCTTCCCTGCCTGATGCTGGGGAGAGGCACGCACTTTCCCTGCTTGATGCTGGGGAGAGGCACACACCTTCCCTGCCCAATGCCGGGGAATGCTAAGAGTTTTTCCGCCTGATGTCGGGGAGGTGCCTAGCTTCACTGACTGATGCTGGAGAGAAACATGCATCTTCCCTGCCTAATGTCGGGTACATGCTAATAACTTCTTTGCCTGAAGCTGGGAAGAAGCACTCACCTTCCCTGCTCCATGAAGAATAACTTTGCCGAGAAGAGTAAGGGCATGAAGCTGAAAATGAGTAGGCACGACCAGACCAACAGAAGTCTGGCTCGCTCTGCGTCCCATCCGAAGCATGTAAGATATCTGCAAAGATTTGCCATTTGCTAAAGGAGTGGTTGAGATCGGGTTTGCGACGAGGAAATAGTCGTCATCTGGGAGGACGGTGGGCGAGCCCGATCATAGAATCAGGATGACAACGTTTAGTCCTTTCATGATGAATCCAAAGCAGCGGTCCTCACCCGACCGGTCTTGAAATGGGAATGATTGTGTTGTGGGTCAGGCTCGAATTTTCACGCCCGCCTACACGATGATGTGTATAGAAGAGTAACTAGGATTAAATTTACGGTGCCATTTGACCTTCAAGCTTCCTCAGGATGGATGTAAGATTCCAGACTGAGAGCAATGCTTGGAGGACTCCCTGATGTAGGTCAAGGGAGAGATGCAAGGAAAAAGAGTGATGCTTGGGCGACTCATTCCTTGTCGTTTTTTGAGTTAGTGAGAGAGTCCTTTTGCAGACCTGTTCATTCATGCCAGTGATCGGGGCCCAAGGTGGCCTGACCTGGTGCGATTTTAGGATGGAGAGCGAGCCTGGCGGGATCTGCACTTTACTTCGTCTTGATGAACAGTTGTTGACAAGGATGGCATATGATTGCATCCAGTCTTCCAAGCTATGCGTTGATCCTTGCGTGAGCGTTACTCGATTGCAGGTGGTCCGGGAAGGATGGACAATCTTGCTCTTTGACACGAACTTGACATGGAGGTAGCCCTGCACGAATTTGGAGGAGAGATAGCCCTGCACGAACTTGGGTTAGAGATGAGCTTTGCGTGACTCAAAATGAATGGTGATGTAATGATCATTGGCCTCGTCATGACCACGTACTTAGCTTGAATTTCGAAGCCTGTCAAAGAAGAGTTTGAACCAGTGCCAGGTAGTCTAGGCTCAGGAGTGGGCGAAGAAAGCACATGCTGCCTTGAAGGTATACGCGGATGGCCATGGAGCAGATGATCGGAGCATGCCCAAACATGGTATGATAGGTTGACATATCGTCTTCCCGAATTTTACCCTGAGAAGTTTGGTTCGTCCAGGATCATGTTTGACCCTGATGAGTTGGAAAAGGTGGGTCACGACGACGACCTCGATACTTGGTCTCCTAGACACTTCCCAAAGGTTCATGATGATCTGGATGGAGTCACTCACGAGCATGATTTGGGACTGTTTTCCAAGTTGTCACAGAGAAGATGGTCATGATCTTGGAACTATTCTACATGATTTTCTTCATTGCTTGAGCTTGTATGCATGCTTCGTTCATCTTTCAAATTACTTGGTCGTTTTTCATTCAAGAATACTTGGATAACTTATCGGGGATCTGGCTCCCCACCTAGGCCGTGAGGGGCGGAAGGTCGACAGGGTCGACCTTGACCGCGCCCTGCTGGGTAAGGCGGGACTGACCCGCACACTGTCGGTCTAGGACCGACAAGTTGTGGAAGCTGTTCAACCGGCGTTTGGACAACGGATGTACGAGAGGGGCTCGAGGCACGACCTCTCCCATATCTTCGACCCGGAGGTCGGTCTTACACCACCTTGACTTGTACAGCTAGTTTCATACTTAGGAAATATTTTTGTTGTTCCCTTTCTGAAAGTCGAACTAAAGTCGGCTAAACGTAAGGGCAAGGCCCTGCATGATCAAACCAGAACGGACCCGCATTGTTGATCCTATCAAGCGCGTATGCGGGCTGTTAAGCCTAGCAACGTCAGAAAATGGATGTACGAAAGGGGCTCGGAGCACGACCTTTCGCATTCCTTTGGTTCGGAGACAAGTCATGTAGTTGCCGCATCGTTGATTGGATCATACATGCATGCGAGCTGTTTTGACAACAACGTAGGACAACGGATGTACGAGAGGGGCTCGGGGCGCGACCTCTCGCATACCTTTTCGACCCGGAAGCCGGTCTTACAATTGCCCTGACCGAGCACCTAACCCTGGACGTAGAAAATAGTTTGATTATTTCTTTGCCCGAGGGCCGAGCCGTGGTCGACTAAACACCGAGAGCGGGGCGTGGTATACATATACTCTTTTTTTTCTCTCCTCTTTTTTTATTGCTCTCTTTTTTTCTCTTTTTTTTGC